CCTAAGGGAGTATGCTTAAATCTCACTGGGAAGGGGAAATAGAATAGACAGTGGGAGTGACTGAAGAGAGGGAACAGAGTAGGAGAGGAAACCTGGTAAGAAATGAGGGTGGAGATCAGATGTGGCAAGGGATGGTGGGACTTCATATGTAGCCTATGGGCAGCTTGGTCTTCGTGTGGGTCCCTTAGAAAGGGGAGCAGGTTGCTGTCTCTGACATGAACTCTGTCGCCTGCTTTTCATCACTTCTCCCTGGCGGGACTGCCTCACCAAGCCTCGGGGGAAGAAGATGAACTCAGTCCTGAAGCTCAGGAGATTAAATCCCAAGGGAATGCAGAGGGGTCTTAAGATAAAGGAGAAGTACGATTAGGAATGTTTTCCATGATTGCTTCTCCAGCAATATGTGGAGTGACTGAGCTGGTGGGCAACAAAGACAGTTAAACCATAGTCTAATCCTCAGCAGTGGCACGAAGACGGTAAGGAAGCAGTACACTCAGGAAGTGTACCTAAGATAGGAACCCTTAGAAAAACCTTATTTTAAGCTGGGGGACACTGGTATTTCTAAGTTTGCAGAATGGATGGTGTAATGTTCAGTTCCAAAAAATGAAAAAATGGTAGAGTGGATTGTTTTATATTGGGTCTCCCACAGATAACAGCCTTAAAGTCTCAAGCAACATTTCCAAATGCAGTAACACAAACAGCGACAACAAAACCTGCCTGAGATTACTGAAAAGCAAAGGAAAACATCCAGAAATTAAAGGGAATTCTGTTTCTATAGTTTTTCCACTCAGGGTGTAACCGAGTCTGAGTGACCAAAGTGAATGAAAATCGAGCAAAAAGCTGAAGTCTTAAAAGATTAAGGTGTGAGAAGACACTGGCAGTGAGCAACTGGAATCTAAGGGAGATAGCCCAGAAAGCAGAGAGATGAGAAAACATGGTTCAACATCTGTGTATAAATTTCCATTAAACATGGAGAAAGAAATACTTATAAGAACCTATAGATTTAGCAAGAGAGAGACAGAGAGAGATAGAGATTGGAGTCACAACCTAGGAAGACAAAGGAAGCTTGAAACTTCTCAAATTTAGCTAAAAGCTTTGTTTAGAGATCTAAGAACTCAGAAGATCACAGGCAAAATAAATATGAACATGACAAAACTGTGGAAATTCAAAATTTTATAAATTTTATAAAATTTCTGGAAGAAATCTATTAAAAAGCCTACAGCTTTGCTGATGAATTAAGAAGGCAAAAATATCACTCTTACATACATTTTTCTAAGAAAACAGAGGAAATCAAAACTACCCAAGTCATTTCATAATGTGAGAATGACTCTGATGGCAGTGTGTAACTGGTTGTCACTAAGCATTAAATTTTAGGCCATTAAATTCCATTTACATATTTTATAGCTTCTTATCTTAGTTGGGGTTACTAGTACTATGATGTAATATCATGACCAAAAACGACTTAGGAAAAAGAGTTTCTTTTGCTTTCACTTCTACAGCAGTGTTCACCATTGAAGCAAATCAGAACAGCACTCAAGAAGGGTAGGAACCCAGAGGCAGGATGTGACACAGAGGCCATGGAGGGGTGCTGCTTACTGGCTTGCTCACTCTGCTTTCTTATAGAACTCAGGACGAGCAGCCCAGGGGTGCACCCTCTCACAATGGGCTGGGGGCTCCCCCATCAGTCACTAATTAATAAAATGCACAAAAACCTTACCTGCCTACAGCCTGATCTTCTAGAGGCTTTCTCTTCAATTGATGTTCCCTCCTGTCAGATGACTATAGCTTGTGTCAAATTGACATAAAATTTGTTTGTACAACTGACCCCTTATAAACTTGACATACAAACGCATCACTGGTGAGCAGCAACCTTTCCTTTCTTGTTCATTCCCAATATCACACATTAATATCAGCACCACAATATAAAACATTTTACAATCCTACCATCTTCCAAATCCAAACACTTTAAAAGTTAGCTCTTTAAAAATATCCATTCTCTCTTTTAAAATCTAAAATTCTATAAAACTCAAATCTCTCTCTCTCTCTCTCTCTCTCTCTCTTTCTCTCAACTGTGGGCTCCTGGAAACTCAAGAATAAATTAAGTACTTACTTACTTCAAAAGGAAAGAGTTCACTTTAAAAGTCCAGTCTCCTTTAAAAAAAAAAACAACTCAAAGTCTTTCAACTGTGAGCTCCTATAAAATCCAAAATAAGTTAAATCCTTTCTCATCTCAAAAGGGAAGAACCATGGCACAGTGACAATGAAGTGACAATGATCAAAGCAAAACCAAACTTTAACTGCGTAAATAACTCAATGCCTAACTGTGATCCACTCATGTTCATCTGAGCTCCTCCAAAATGCCTGAGTAGCTACCCATAGGACCAAATACTTATATTTTAAGCATAGGCTGGCTCCGCCCCACAAATAATGCCGTTCTTAGTGGTCATCCGGTGGTACCGGCATCTCCAGAATGTCGGGCTCTCCTGATGCAACTGAGCTGCACTTTTCCTGGACTTTCTTGATGGTGTCAACCCTCAGCTTTTCTGCATGGCTCCTTCAATCCTGGCCCTTCAGCTGCTACTGAGGGTGCACATTCCCCAGTAGCTTCTCCTGTCCTCTCATCATGCCAGTTCTTAGCTGTTCTCCAGGACCACCTCATGTCCTCAAAACCAGTACCACCTGGGAGACTCCTACACACGAGCCAGCTCAGCTGCCAGCACCAGGTACAACCTCAGCCACCTCTGGAACACAACTTCTGTGTGCCAACTCTGGGGACCTGCTTCCCAGAAGATTTCACCTGGGCTCTTCTTACTGACCACGAACTTCCCAGCTCCTATCCCAGCAAAGCAAAGATTTTACTTCAGTGGTTCTGGAATCTTGTCAGTCACAGCTGGTTCTTAAGCCCCCTTAAGGTAAATAGAACCACAGATTCTTAACTCAAAATATACAACAGCCTTGATAAGGAACTCTCACAGTCCTTTCTGGAGCTTTACGAGCCAGGACTCCACTGTCAAACACCCTTCTCTTTCAAGCTCCCACAGAACAAACAGCTCATGGAGCTTTGAACACTCAATAGCATTTGGACTGTTGCAGAAATTCCCCACTATCCTGGTACCAACTTTTGTCTTAGTTACAGTTACTATTGCTGTGATGAATAATT